TGCACTCTGCACAACAAGAGTATTGTTGCACTCTGCTCAACAGAAACCTTACCTGTCACAGTGCTGCTTGAAAAGTGTCGGGTGACTGACACAATAGGATTAGATTAAATATGTCATTTTATATTTTCCTATTAATCTAGTAAATTCTTCAGAAATGTGGGGATCAAGTGTGATCCCTTGGTTTTGGGATATATGCTGTGTGATATTTATAGATTCTTGGGCTCCATTCCTGGAGTGACTTGCAATGGAAGCAAACTAAAGGAGGATTCAGCTGATAAAATCTCCCTTGTGTAAAATTGAAAATAGAGCCAGTGTTAATGGTTGCTTACATTACCTCCCATTATTGTGAAAGAACCCCATCAAGTTCATGAATATTTCAGAGACAGGAATGGGGATACAACAGTCAGTGATCTGACTCATTTTGTTGAATTTGGAAAGAAAAATAAAAATGTTCAGGCCTAAACATTTCTATAGTCAACATAGTGGAATATCAACAATTCTATCAACTGTAACTAAGAGAATTCTTATTTTTAAAAAATGAGGTACAAGAAATAAAAAGGATAATATCTTTTATGAAAAACAATCCTTTGTTAAAAGATAATTCAAGCAGAATAATTGTGGAATAATAGATGTGAATTGCAAATAATTATTTAATATCAACTTTTAATGAATTTATTTACACTAAAGTTATTCTTTAGCAGGACTCATAAAATACTCCAGAATGAATATATTCCTGACATCATGATTACATTTCTGTTCCATTAATACATTGTACTAAGACCATGGTGGTGACCCACCATCTAGGGACAGAGATCATGCCCTTGAAATTAGGTGCCAAAGTGGTGAATTTTCAGTGGGGTGCTCTTTGTTTTAAAAATCTGGAAGAGGATGGAAGTGAAAGGCCTCTAGGAGGCAAACTACTTCAATTTATACCCTTAATACCCCCCTTTATTCCATGGCAAACATTCAGATATTTTGCCATTGAATTTCAGAGGCATCATTTCCAGTTATTTTGGATGATTTTGAAGTGTACCATTGGAAGCATTCCCAACTTTTAAACCTTAGAAAAACCCACAAAGTACATAAAACTATCAGTTCTGCTAGATCCTGTTATATCACCACTCTTGTGGTGATGTCACATGCATCCCTCCAACCTGTTAGTGACTGTCTTGGACAGCAACCATTCACAGTTATGATGATGATGAAAAAGTAACTTTGTAATCCATGCCCACATTTGCAACCTTCACAGCATCTCTCTGTCACATATTTGCCATTTCAGTCAGTTGGTATGCGTTGTCCTATGTAAAATCATAAGCACAGTCATTTTCACTTAGTGACTGCTTCACTTAATGACCAAGTTACCAGTCCAAACTGTAGCTGCTAAACGAGGACTACATGTAATATGATATAGTTTCAACAAAATGCATTATGTGCATTCAGTTAGCTTGGTCAGTAAGCTAATTAAGTATGACATATGAACCAGATTACTTGACTTGATCCAGAAACCATGCTGTTTAAGATTTAAATAAACCATGGTTTAGCAAGGTGCCTGAACTCAGCCACAAACTGTTGTGTATAGAGGCAACATTGTTTCTACAAGCATTTATGTATTCCCTGACACCTTTGATGCTGTCAGGCTCCCTGCCCACCTGTCTTTGAATTAAAGACATGAAATATTTGCTTGCATGAATGCCTCTGGGACCTATTAACATCCCATTAGGATGGCAGAAGGCATTCTAATGGCTTTAGTTTGAGTGTTGATACATGACTGGCTTGGACTGGCTGGTATCCATTTTGTGGATGTACCCAGTATGGACTTTCAAAGTTCCAGATGTGACTCTGGCCCCAAAAGTTTCAGCCTTTGGTCTAGCATGATTGCTTGCAAGCTCTGACCTAACCATCCCCTCCAAGCTCCAGCACCACCTTCTTGATTGTTAAACACTACTGGATGCTTGGTACACTGTAATGCTGCCAGGTCATGCATTTTCAAGTAGCAAATGCTGAAGACTTAGAGGAATGGTATGTTGGAATCTATATTATATATTGCCAAACCGAACAGACCTTATATGAAAGGAAGCAGGAAAAATACTCAAACCCTAGTACAGTATAATTCTCCGAGCTGGCTGGAAAAGCTAGATTATGGTCGATGCTAACCTGGGGAAGGGGAAATTATGGGTTGTGGAGCTGCACATTCCATCCCCGGGCAATCAGCCCTCACCATTGGTACACTGAGCATGAGCCTGAAGGGAGATTCTGAGCGTGTTCAGTGAACATACTTCAATCCTTCTCGTGGCCTATTCTACAGAATCTTCAAAATGTTGTACAAGAGACAATGCCGAAAAAGAGCAGCATAGGGCCTGTATTTGTTATCCTAGTTCTTTTCAAATTTGTTCTCTCAGACTCACTTTTGCTTATTTGCTCATTTAAGGAGCAAAGTGCTCTTCTAGATCTGCTCCTTGAAATCATAAAGCAGCGGTTGAAATTTTTGCATATAGAGAAGACACTACACTTCACCTCTTCAATAGAAGAGTCTTTGGGGCATTTATACACATAGCTAGAAGATTTCAGGAAAGCTTCAAAGTAGCTTTGCAAATCTTTAACTGGTGGTGATGTTTCATACTCTTAATGAGTGGATCTACAGGAGCACTTTGTCTTAGTGAATTATTTACATGCACCTACTGAATATTGTTTATACGGATGGAGCACATGTGTTCCTTCAGACACTAATAAAATATCACTTCTAGTAGCCTGGCCAATGGTGCAACATTCTGGGAGCTGTATTCAGCTATAGCTGGAGGTCCAGAGTCTCCATCCTTGGCTTGTATCTATTCATATACACATAGACATGTGTGTACTTTATTTTCTTCTTTTATGGACTTATTGGTACTGAAATCTGAATAAATGATTATTTATTTATTTATTTATTCCCTGTGTTTCTGAGAAGCGAATCTCACCATTGATGCCATAATCAAGCCACCATTTTTAAAGACCAGCACATTCCACAGATCCTGACAGGGCTCTGAATTCCTTACATACAAATGCAGTTATAATGTACACACTGAAGACTGTCTGATCCTATAGGTTTATCAAGGCCAATTAACTGTGTGAGTGGGATCTTGCTGGTTGCAAAAGATTCATTTTCTGAGCACAAGGGGAAATGAACATAAGCACATTTTTTAAAAAAAGAATGTTAAATTGTACGATGACACATAACACCTTATAATTACTTAATATGTGTTTCTTAGTTGTGGTATTTGAAGAAGATCCTTACACGTGGTTTCCACGTGAAACACAGGAAACCCACAGCAACAGTTTTTCAAAAGTAAGCTACAAAAGGCAAGAGGGTGTAAAAACTATCCAGAGAATCTTCATTTTTCACTGTCTTTTTTTTAAAGCTAGCAAGAACAATACAAATGTTCAGGTTTCTGAAATTACATCAGACCATGAAGCTGAACCCTGGAAAATTCTCCCTGCTTCTAATAAAGACTTGATTTGCCACCATCTGTTATAATGATAGACAGATGTCATCCAATACTCTTGATCACACTGTTAAAACATATAGTTTCTTTAAATCAGTCTAGTGTTCTCAGTAAGTAATTAGTTTGGAAATTTAATATGTTCAGCAAAAACAATTCTGTTGGCAGTGTGCGCATGACATTTGATTCCTTGACAAGATTCCTTCTAACTTTTCATATGAGAGAAAAGAGAGAGAGAAAGAGAGAGAGAGAGAGAGAGAAGAGATGAACTGCATTTTTTTTATTTTACTGCTCAATAGTCTTGCAACTTTTAAATTAATGCATTTTTCTTGTTTGAGATTTTATTCACCCATGAGTTTAAATGTTTTATTAAGCACTCTGTGCAAAAAGTTTAAATGCTAAAGCGCAGCTTTTTCCATGAAAACACTCACCGTAAACCATGGCACCTCCTGTTTCGTGCAAAAAGCGGAATCTGTGATTTTTAAACAGCCAAATTGTAAGGATCGTGAGGATGAGCAAAAAATTAAACACCAACAGCTCCACAGCACCCTGATGATAAAAATGGTCCTCATCTTTTACTGACTGCAATTTCCTCAACTTCATCTTGCTTTATTCACACTACTCTATAAACTTTCTTAACAAAATAGCTGAAAAATGCCAAAATAAAGAAAACTCCACAGGTTAAATCCTGAATGCCTGCTTTTGTAAAAGAAAGTCTAGACAGCATAAAAAAAGCACAACAAACACATCTGCTTTATTTGCAGCCTCTCGGCACACTGCCACAGCTCAGAATTCAACTGGATTCTCGTTACAACTTCCTGTTTTCTTCTTAAAGCTGTCCTGTCTCATTTTTTATCTTGAAGCTTCATCACTAATGCTTTCTTTTTTCCTTTGGGAAGGGAGGAGTTGACTATATTTGCTATGGCAAACAGATAGATAGATAGATAGATATGCAAAATAAAGTTTAAAGAAGCACTAAATATATTATAAAATTGTTATAATTTAAGTCAAAAATAGTGGCCACTACTGTTTTAAATTTTAAAGTTTTATTAGCATTAAAGCGGAACCCTGGAGACTGTCTTCACACAACATGCTTAGCCATGGATTACCTTGCTGTGAGTTACTGAATTAATCCAGTTGCTGTGTTTATACAACTCAATAAACTAAAAAGTAAGGATTCTGGCTGAATTCGCAAAAGCATTGAGCCAGGGATATTTTATCTCATCTTGCTGTGTGAAGAAAAGCAAGAAAACTTAATACTGGTTAATTATTTCTGCAACTCCTCTCTTGCAGTAGTATCTTATTATACAGATAGCAAGCCTAACTTCAGTGTCTTCTGTCTGGCTGTGCTCAAATAACACACTAACCCTGGTTAAATTATTTAACCCAAAGGCCTGGATTTGAACAATATACTGGTATCTTGCTAGACTGTCTGTAAGGGTTGGGGATAACTTTTACTATGATTCTGTTTCTATATAAGCAAGACATTCCAGTCAGTAATGATGGCAACTCAGCTCTCAAGATCTTGACTGGTCCAGTGTGGGGTTCTGCAGGGCACACTGCTTTCCTCTGTTACTTAAAATCTCTGTGACCACTGGGAGAGGCAATCATTGGTTCTGGGTGAGAAGGAGTATGATGATGACACAATCCTGGGCCAAATTGGAAAGCCTGAATCAGTCAGGATGGGGCAAAACAAGATGAAATGAATCCAAGAGAGTTGCTATTTGCCAATAAGGATCTGGGTATGTGAAAATTTTTGTCCTGATAATTACTATAAAGAGGGTATGCTTCTCTCAAAGAAGTTGGCTGGTGACTTGTGGGGAGGGGTGTCCTCTCCTGAAATAGAGGGTGCAACAGATATGATCCTACCTGAACCAGGATGCCCTGGTGACTGGCCTTGGGTACCATGTGGTTGAACAATTATAACAGACTCACCATGGAACTGCTTTGAAGATAACTCAATATCTGTAGTTAGTCCAGAATGCAGCAGCCAGACTGTTGGTGGGGCAACTCTACCAGTATAGATAACACTGATTTTAAGATCACAACACTACTTATAATTAAGCTTCTGGACTCAATGCAGAAGTTAATTATAATCTATAAAACTGTATACAGTATAGCAGCAGAATACACTGCCTTACCAAAATTGAATCTGTCCATCTGATCTGAATAACTTAAGGGTGCCTGCTAAGGTCAGTTCCCATCCCTTCCCCTCTTTCAGGAAGTCTTCCACAGCTAATTCTTTGGAGAATGAATACTGTAAAATACAGTGCAATGTATAAGAAAGGAATGATTCAGCAGTCTAGTTTCCACTGGTCTGTTTCCAGACCATAACACTTTCCCCAGGGATTAATCTATACCTTGGGAAAGATATATAGGAAGGTACCATCTGATAAAGTAAAACATAATCTACATTACTTGTTTGGCTTGCCTAAAGTCATAGAAGCATACCAAGCACATGAAAAATGAGGAAGACGAGAAAAAACTCCCTTCTTTCCAAATTTCACTGGAGCAAAAACAGAAGTGAATATAGGGGAACGGGCTTGATGAAGACAGTCAACTGGGTGCACAGGATTGTTAGATGGCCATTTGAAAATTTAGGACGGATAAAATCTTTGCTTCCAATGATACCATTGGAATGAGTACATTTTGGATCTTTTCCTTTCTCTGCCATAGTTACATAAAACATAAAATTAAGTGTAGTGGAGAGGAGCTTGGAGGAAGCAGACAGGCATTAATTTGCTGGACTTTGGGGAGATTGAAAGCGATCTGGAATACATCATGCTTTCAATGGTATCATAGGGAGTGCATTGAAATTCAGCATTAGATTTGAATCATTGAAACTATTTTATGAGTTTCTGAAAGAAGAGTTTGGAGCCTATTTCCAAGCCTCCATATGGGGAGTTAATGGGCAGTGGCTAAATCCACATTTGCTGCATAAGGCATTTTTTCTTAAGCAGTGAATACAAGTTCAGCCATTGCTGAATAGCTCTCCACTGGAAAGAAGCTCATATCTTCTTTGGGAAATGTATGAATATCTGAGACTCAAACTCCTAAAATTAGATTATAAAGTTCAGAAATAAGGTAGGTCCTATTATACTGATAGAAGATTTTATATAATTACATAAAAATATATTTCATATTTAGTATTTACACACACACACACATTCTCTTATATTTAGTATCGAAAGATTTAGGCTTTCATCAAAGATTTCTGCATCTTGTTTCCTTCTTTTCTTTAAGTTTGTAAGCTTGGGGTCCTTTCTTTCTAACCTTGATAGATAAGAAACTGTACCCATAGAAGCAAGATAAGGTATACATTCTAAAGATAGTTTTACTAGGGAAAAGGTGTTTAGTTAATGGCCAAGGGGCCTGGGAAGGAAAGAAGGAAGGAAGTTCCTAATATGGAATGATACTGAGGTGAGAAATGGGTGACTGAATAGGGGTGACTAAAGGAGAGGCTGAAAGAAATCTATATATTGTATCAAAAGGAGGGGGTCAAGCGTGGCCACCCACCTATCAGCTTGCTGTCATCGCTTTGGCTTTTGGGTGAAGAATAAAGAAATTAATTTCATGCAACTGCCTGTTGTCTCTTTGATCCCAGCTCAGAAACAAACTAGTAAGAAATAATTCTAACAATACAAAGTTTATTTCCTCACACACCTCAAATCTAGCATAGAAGGTAATATTGGTCGAGGAACTTTATTTCTGTTCTTCATTTTTTTCCAGAACTAATTCTTCCATTAATGATTTGAGATTTAGTTGGAAATAACTTGCACTTATGAAGTTTGGATGTTCATTTTTTTTAATGCCAGTACATGTATAGATTTCCTGGAGAGGGAGAATAATTTTACAAATGGAGGACTATTGAAGAGATGCAGGATAGTGATAAATTTAGCCATGGAAGAAGAATGTGTTGATTATTCCCAGCCCCTGAGTTTCAGAGCAGAAGAGGAACAATAAATGAAAGAACATTTCCTTAAGCTTTTATCTGTAGCTATTTGTTACACAATCAGGAAAAAAAAATCATTTATCTGTGAAGAAAACTCTTTAAAGAAAAATAAGAGCTAATTCAGAAAGATGTTAAATAATTACAAGACAAATTTGTCAGTTATTTATGTACGACTGGCAATTGCTGAATATATTATTTTTTCTTTAAAAAACATGGGGATTTTATAACACAGTTTGGATGAAACACTTAAACCACATAGAACCTTTTGTTTTCTGAACATTTGTATCCTATTAATATGGGTTTGATTCAGAAATTGGAAATATTCACTTGCATCAAAGCTTTTCCTCTGTATTATTATTTTAACATGTAGTGGTAATCCTAATTAAATAGGTGTTGTTAGGTCTTTTGCTCTACTATAGTTCAAATATAGAATTACAGAATGCTTTAAGAACTCTGGACTGAAATTCATGACATCATTAAAGATGAAGCAAACAAAAATATATTGAAGGAAAAAAAGCCAAGGAAGGTGAAACAGCTGTCTGTTGCCATACTGAAAATAGCTGAAGAAATGGAATGTGAAAGGATTTGTCCACCTAATCACTGAGTTCAAGAGAAAAGCAAGAAGAGATAAGGAATTAAATCTCATTCTTGCTTCGTTTTTTTCTTTATAAAGTGTTAGCTACTGCAGATGTCATTCTTGGTGTAACAACAATACAAAGAGTTATAATCAGGCCTTAAACTCTTTATAGCTGTCCAAATCTTATCCTTTTCTACCTCTCTGGAGTCACAGATAATTGCCTGTTTTCTTCTCTTGTATAGTAACATTTATTTCATATTTCCCTGGAGAATAAACTCAGAAATATCTTATATCCCAATAGTCAAAACAAGTTAATGTTAAATTTCTTAGGAACAGAATGTTACTTTACATAGCCCAGGACATATGTAAAACAATATTTTGTACCTGTGATGTTTGTACCATGCTTGTTCCATGTCTGACACTATGAATGTCAAAACACAATTCTCCAAGAAAAAGAATTTTTGTTAATATATTCAACATGCAAAGTCCAAGAGCACTTTGTTATATTTTTGCATGTTGAATATATTAACTTCTTGGCAATTAATGCTGAGAGCCGGTTTGGGGTACTGATTAAGGAGCTGGATGACAAACTAGGAGATTGTGAGTTCTAGTCCTCCTTTAGACATCAAAATGACTTTGGATGGGTGACTTTGGGCCAGGTACTCTCTTTCAGTCCAACCTGCATCACAGGGTTGTTGCTATAGAGAAAATACGAAGCAGGAATATTATGTACACTGCCTTGAGTTGTACAAAATAAAGGCAGGATATAAATCTAATAATAAATAAATACATTTCCTGTACCTTAATGAATGTATGTGTTACATTCAAGTGTTATAGGCACCTAGGGAAGTTGGATAATTTAATTTGATCCATATCTCTGATAATTAATGTATATTGTAGTCTGAGAAGTGCATATCAGAATAATTATTCTTAAGACTTAATTTTTTCAGGTTTTGTGAGTTCAACATTTGTTCAAAGCTGGAACACAAAAATGCATATAGTGAACATAAATTCCATTTTTTTTTAGCTTTTAAAAACTCCCATAATTATATAGAAATGTGATGGAATGGGCATTCTCTTTCTGTCCACATACACACATCCATACATATACATACACAAAGCATAGGTAAACCAATGTAGGCTGAACTGAATATGCCAGCAGTCACCTGTTAATATTGGCAGTGATCTGATATGCCACATCTCAATTTATGCGATAGATAGACAGACAGACAGACA